ATGCGGATTCGAACCCGCGACCCTCAGATTGGGAGTCGAGCGCCTTATCCACCTGGCCATGCCCGGGCTGCAAGTCTACTAACACTAAATAACACGAGATTTCATCATTATTGTGGGTAGCTCTGAATTATCTTAAATTACAATAAAGTATTGATCTACCTGCGAGTACCTTTAGTGAAATTCTCATTATTGAGATGATGGACCCATAAGTTAGATTTAGTAGTTGTGTATTTCATGTTGCGGTGTTCCACGTGTACCTTGTAACATTTTGATGATTCCTTCATCAAGTGGAACACGAAACGGATCTATCTCGGCTGTTGTTATTTGTCACCGATTTTCTTTGATGTCTTTATTTTCTTGCATTAAGTAGTCAAACGAATTAAACAAAATAAGTGTGGAAAAACTGATGTTCACACATGGAGGAGAAAAGATTGGGAATTGTACACATCACGGGTATCAAAATACGGTTTTTAGCATAATAAGCCTTCAGACTTACCACTGAGGGACAATTGGGAAAAAAGAAGCAAACAGTTACCAGAAATTTATGATGTTTTAACAGTAGGTTCTTTGATATTAAAAAAAATTAGTATGCATTATAAATTCACAGGAACGTTAAATTGTATTTTGATTAAACCATGGAACTCAATTTTGCATTATGTCTAATAAAAAACATAACACTGTGATAAAATTTTTAAAAGTATTTCTTGTTTTAAACTTAAACCACATCTGGACTTGATAATCTTAAAGATATATAATTTTTTTAATAGATGTTTTGCTACAATAGTAATCAGTATATAAAAACCAATTGGTAAGTGACTATGTTGTCGAACTATTGTTCACTATAGATTCAATTAACAGACTTTGGTAATGGGAAAACGATCATTTTATTAAAATTTATCATTTATATACAACAAAACTGTTATTTTAGTTTAACATACCAGCTTTATTTTTCACAGAAGTAATAAAGCAAAAAAAGATGCTATTTCTTAGTTTTTTTTGTTAAGTAACTATTACAGATTACCCACCTGTACAAGTACTTAGTATATTGAGCTGCCAAAATTGATTTAGTTGAGATTTCATTTTAACATTGCAGGTCTATCATGACCATGAAGTGAAACAAAATCATGGGATTTCAGATGTCATAACAGAAACAAAGGTGAACAATTTGTTTCTCGAATTACAAAGAAATAATTTATAGAAATGTATATCAATTAGTGATTCGTTTAAAATAATTTATATTTGTTTTATTCTTATTAAACCCTGCTTTTGCATTAAGAAACAGAGCATGCTCTAAAAATTTTCTCCTTACATCCTTGTATCCTCCCAGTACAATTACCCAAGTTAATAAATTTTACCCTCTTCATTGTCTTTCAAAGGAAAATAACAAATTTTCTACTTTTATGTACATAGAGGTAAGCTGGAACTCATATTTTTCATAAGAACACATTTGATCTCTTACAAGAGCAGTAAAAAGCTTTTCATCTCTAAGCAAGGCTGAAAACGTTAATATATTTATTTATTTGAAGAACGTAAAACTTGTATATATGCCTTTGCAAAGAAACAAATTTATGTTTATTATGTAATTGTATAATTTAATAGTATTACTTTATAATAGTTTTTGAGCAAATAACATATTGTCCTCTTAAATTAATTTAATACTGATAAGTTTAGGCTTAAGAACATTAATGTTAAATTTATCAGTACATGAAAGAAAATTAATGTTCACTTCATGTAGTAGTTGTACTACTCATCTTTTGTACTAAATTAAACTGTGCTGTCTGGTATTCATCATACAACAACAAATTAGTTAACAAATATATTTTTTTTACTAGTAGGATGGCTACCCATGTTGATTATTCATTAGGCTACAATATCTTGAGAAACACTGTGGATGTTCTCCTGTTGTACCATGTTGTGCTTGCTAGCATTGTGTCTTCCCTGTACTGAGGGTAAGTAAGGAACCAATTCCTCAGGAGCTGCAAAGCTTAGTTCATGCATCTTTTGTTCAATCTCCAAATTAGTGCTGTCCTCATCCTCCTCCTGTGAAGAAATACATCTTTCTAAAATTGTGACACATACACAATACATAACATGCTAAAAGTACTTCAATGACACATGCAAGCAACATTTTTAACCATTTTTTTTATAAATCTCAGATTGATGTAGATTTAAGCAGGGATACAAAAATTTAATTTTGTACTGAAGGCCACTAGCAAAATTGAAGACGTTTCTAGTATTCAAAGCTTTTTAGCTACCTCATTCTGCTATGTATAGAAGATTTTATCAAACACTTAAACTCCTTATCAACCCCACTGTTTCTGTGCCACAATACACATACTTACAGCTATTTGAGTTTGATAGAACATTTGCATGTATTGTTTCCTCTTGTTTGAAAGACAATGATTGTGACTGAAAAATCACATTTATTGTTGCAGTTTTTATCTTATTAAAATTTTTTTTTTCATTTTAAAATAAACACTCTCTCAGAGTGAAGCCAGAATACAGCAATCAGGCATGTAGATTAATTTTTAATTTATTTATTAATCTGAATAGTTGTCTCAAAACAACTGAAAGATGAGGCCATGCAATTTAATTTAATTTCTTGTGTAACTGTTCAAATGATCTGGTCATATCAATGAACAAACTTTTTATGAAGCTAAAGTCCTATGATTTCCTTCTTCTGTGGCAGATTTTAGATATATAACCAAAAAGGCTAAAAAATGAGATACCATATTTAATTTCTAATAAAATGACTATCAGATGCTGTAATTTTCAGTTATTAGAGTAAAAAAACAAGAAAAATATGGAGACAAATAACAAAGATTACTTTCACAGTTATTACATTTTCAAACTAAATATAATCATATCTACATATCAAGTGCTACGACAGATAAAAATTGGATAGGAAAAAAAAAAACCTTAATTTTTTTAATATTTACTGAACTACACATACAACAACAAAAGAACATATTTAAAGAAAATTAACAGTTATTACTACATTATGATATTGAAGAAACTAGAGATACATATTTGTATATTCTAATAGATCTTTGTTTTGCCTTTTTTACAGATATTCATTAACAGATTCATTCCTCAACTAAGGAAACAGGAGTAAAGATTATTTACTAGATATTGGTATTTTTGACTTTAAGGTAGCTGAACTTTATTCATATCATTATGGTACAGTTCACTGCCAAAGCAATGCCTGTAATAATTTATAACGGAATCTCTCATTCAATTTTTGCTCAGTTTTAAGACCCAAATTCTGTTTGCTACTAAAGGATATTTTTTTTGCCAACATCTTGTATTTAAAGTGGACTTGCACAGAGCTGATATAAGGAGCAGCATATATTCATGTACTGTGGTCAGAGTTAAGACCAATAATGTTGTGGACATTCAAGTCACCACATTTTAAATTTCATGTTATCAGTGGAATGCTGTGCCAGCCCTGAACATCAGTCTACTATATTTCTCATTGTGTATTGGTTTGTAATTAATCAAAATTAGCATCCAATTGAAGTAATGGAAGGACTTTATGGCCTACAGAACACTTTACTCTTAATTTATTTATATCATATTTTTATTTTGAAATGAGGAAAAAAAAATCAATAGACTTAACATTAACACCCCCAATCTACAATCCACCACTTATATCTTTATAATTAAATAAAGTTTGTTCTGAGAATTATTACATATTACCTTGATAATACCCTTTATTAGACGAACTAGAATTTCTAAATCAATATGAATCTCCAACAATCACACAGAGTTAATTCTACTTGACACACTTCTACCATCTTAAAAGGTAGGGTTTTATTCACTAGAATTTCTAAATCAATATGAATCTCCAACAATCACACAGAGTTAATTCTACTTGACACACTTCTACCATCTTAAAAGGTAGGGTTTTATTCACTAATCAAACAGCATGGGGAAATAGGACTGATAAAGCATACACAAGTATCTCTTTGAGCTGTATTTTACTGCTAAAGTGTTAATTTCAAATAAGATACTTGCTTTCTTTGAGAGTAATATTCTTAAAATGAGCTGATTAGGTACTTTCAAATATCAGTCAGTGTATAACTTTTTTCCAATTAACAGAATTAAAAAGACAGTTACTCTTTAAGAAGAATATTTAATATCTTGAAAAATATAAAAAAATACAATCAGTTTTTTATCTTTATGCAAAAATATTGTCAAGTTTTAGTTATCCATGAAAAAAGATAAATAGCCTTAATTTGTATTTTCAAATTTTAATTTCACCACAATAATGTTACAATGAACCTCAGCTGATAGTTTCTTGTTACACTGTTTATAACGATGTGGTTATTGATATCTTTATAAAAAAATGTTCTAGGTAATTATTGAAGCTTGAATAAATTTGCAAGTGACTTAATAAAAACAAATCATGCTAGATGGAGACATTATGCACAGAGAGATAAGTTAGTTTTATAACTGATAAATATAACAATGCAGGCCCATATGCAGAATGCTTGAAATGGGGGTTCTAATTTGTGAGATCAAAAGCCAACACATATTGTACAGTGCACAATCAGCATGCAGAGCATGTAAAAATAGGAGCTACAAGATTAAATCTGGAAGCAATTTTGCATGAAATATAGTTTAAACAATTGTATGGCTGTTCACATAAAATCCACAAACATCCAAAATGTTAAATACCATAAACAGCTACACATAAGCATAATTTGTTTACATCACAAAAATAGGGGGTTCGGACGAATCCCCTCAAATCTCCCTGCTTATGTGTGTGAAATGATCAATGATATTTGTTAATCCTCCCCCCCCTGAAAACACAAGAATGGAAGCAGCAAAAAATAAATGAAATTATCATCACATTAATTTTCATAACACAACACAATATTGTACAGCATTTATATTACTCCTGATGAAAATACCACCATAAAACTGAAATTGTCTTAAAAATTTAAACAGTGTAAAATGAGTACATTTGCTGATTTTGGAAGAGCCATTAAGCTGATATTTTGATAAACTTCAATTTATGTACTATTTTATTCTCATAATACTTTCTGCATTGTTATTTCTATTTATAATGTCTGGCAGTTATAGGGGAGCTTAAAGACAGGACCAAATACAAACAACCAGACAATTTGTACTCTCAGTAATCATAAACGATTAATAGTACAGCATGGGTTTGTCGTAAAGACTTATGTGCATCAGCACATAGTTGCATGATTTCCATACTACGATCATCACAACTTCAGCTTGAAGGAAGAGACCTACTAAGGCTTTCTAATCACGTCTTGTGAAGACCTGGGTTAATCCAATAAGGCTTTTGGTTGTCAAGATTCCATTAAATCGGGTCCCTTATATTTATGTGTATTATGCCTGAAACTATTTTTGTTTTTCTAGTTTGCTCCATATTTAAATACTGGGGTTTCATGATAATATGATATTGTAGTGTTTTCCAACTGCTAATAAGTGGACCAGTGCCAGTCTACAGGAAGCCTTTAGTTAGTCTACAAGACGACTGAAAGAAAAGTTAATGTGTATATATGTGTGTGTGTGTGTGCACGTACACGTTTTCCAGTGTATGAAAGTATGAAGTATTTTTATTCGAATAATAAATTGCCCTCAGCTGTTTATTGCACGTCATTACAAACTTAATTTTTAGCTAGTAAAGTAGTTGGATGTACTTGCCACCCATCTCAAATATTTATATTGTGTGACTACTGACAAAAAGTATACAACTGCTTATGATAACAGGTTTATTAAATACTATAGTGACATTTATCAGGTCAACATTCATTAGTGCAATAGCAATAATAAAAATAATTAAATTTTACATGTGCAAAAATGTTTATCTGAAAAAACCATACAAACAAAATGACATCTAGCTTATTGAAATCACACTTCGTTTATCAATTTCAATATTATTGTCACATATACTTTACTTATAATAGTAAACTACATATTCTATCACTTTCCATATTACATTTCTAGCGAGGTATTCATGCTGTTCAGTTTAGTTATTAGTACATCAAAGAGTGTTTCTATCTTGAATGTGAAGTTCAGTTTGGCACATTAGAACAACCTAATGAGATAGAAGGCTATAAACAATGCTATAAAAAAGAATACTTTTTGATAAAATAAAAAATATAAAAAATACTCAAAGATATTTGTTTATGTATTACTTCCATCATTTTTTATAAAAAGGCTTGACAATGTTTTGTAGGGCTACAAATTACTTAGTAAAAGGGCATGATCAGTTTTGAATTAAAACTTACGACAACTTCCTCAGCATCTATGTCATCAATTGGTAAGTCTATAGCTGTGTCAGAAGAATCCTGTACTTCTTTTGCTCCTTCTGTTATCTGACTTCGCTGTTTGGCTTTATAGACTCCACCCAGGTCTATTGAGATATACAGACTACTGAGTGTGAGCTTTAAATGATAAAATATTGTAAGCATGTTTTCAAAATACTGAAGATTATTTTCAGAAGCCGAAGAGGATCTAATTCAAACATAAAAATATTATCTGTTATATCTGAAGAAGTTCATATTTGGAATAAATAGAAAAACAAATGCAAGTTTCGAAAATATTATGAACATGGACTCTTCATTATTCTTCAAAAATGTTTGAGTGAGAAAAAAAAAGAAGCCAAAATTCTGTTTTAGTTCCAATAGTAAGCGACATCTCATAAACACAGCAAACTTTGTTTGCATTACTCACATTGCATTATTTTACTCACATGCTGTAAAACTGAATTTACAATATCACATTTTGTTCAGTGTAACTCAGGAATGATTCTTAGGTTTGATACAATGTGTTCAATATTAGTGTCCTTAAAAATACAATAATCAAGTCATGCTCTAGTGGGAATGGCATGTTGGCTCAGAATCTGCCTGTAATTGCAAGCAGTCAGAATGCTATCAGTTTTGCATAGATCACTGACAGCATTAACTATGAAGCAGTCTTAAACACGTATTTAACCTCCACTGTACTTCATTATTGATGTTGCCTACGATACCATTCTCCTCTCTGGCATCAAACAAACTGATGCCGAATGTAGCCAAAGCAATCCAAACTTGGATTTATCTACAAAGAGAATGTCTCCAACTCTGCTCATTTCATTGTTTGTGGTCTGATGCTGCTTTCAACTTTTGGTTTGATTACATCTACTACTGGCACAGATTGACTGCCTGTTCATTTAAAAGGCTTTATACTGGTGTGGTACTCTGGTGAAGCTTATTTTTATTAAATGGCATTTCTATAGTATCTGCCTTTTATACCCTTTTCCATCATTGTTTCCATTATTATTCATGATACTGTATGTTCTTAAAAAAAAGTTGATTGGTAAAAAGTAATTCAGTTGAGGTCAATACAGAGTATTTAAACAAAAACGGTGCGTAACAACTAATGAAATTTATTATGTAATATTAGACTAAGAAAAAATAACCTTAGTACAGAAATATAGTCCATGTAAGTGGTATGCCACATGTTATAATTACAAAAGGAAAAATAAATCTACATAGGATCCCAACTAATTATTTCTAATCCATATATTAGTTTCAAGTGCTCCAGTTAAACATACTAATTGTGTTTGTAAAAATTTGTAGTTTGGTATTTCTTAATACTGTAAACTTACTGTAAACTTCCAAAAGAATTTTGAAAGCATAAAAATTTCTTTTAATGAATAAAATTATTAAGTGAAAATAGAAAGACTACAGTTACAATAAAACTTACCAACACTAAACTAATTTCAAAACAAAAACTAGAAATGATAACAGGTATTACCTAGTATCATAAAACAGTCTTATCATGTGAAATACCAAAGATAAACATTTTAAAATTAACCAGAATTTAGTTTAAAAAATACAAGTTGTTATATACACCAACCTTGATCAAGGTCAACTTCCCTAATACATTCATCTGACTTGCTACTGCTGCTCTTTGCATGAAAGAGATCGTCAGCAGCAGATGAAGTTAGGATTGGCTTGATTTCCTCTTCATTGGTGACTGTAGTTAACTTCTGAAAATCATCTTTGGATTTTTCCCTCAGAGGTTTTCTTGTCATTGTTTTTCCCATGTTTCCCGCTTTCAAAGGAAGACGACGTTGTGATCTAAAATGCATATATGTACATATATATAAATGTATATAGCTTCTGATGAAATGATTATGACAAAGTAAAAACTATTCTATACATCCTTAATAATCATTCTTACATTGCAATTTTTTGAAGAACAGTAAAAAACTCACTTCTGAAAGGACACAATTACAAAATAACAGTTTGGAAAAATAACCAACTGTGATTAATGAAATAGAACAACTTATTTCCATTTAGAATAGTGAATGAAATAAAGTTTCATATAAAAAGTTTGAAATTTTATTCGTATTCAGATTAGCATAATTGTATTAACAAAGTTCCACACCATCAAAGCTCTCTTTAATTCACTACAATATTTTGCAACTTTCCTATTAATGTTTAATTGCTGAAGTTACATGTCTGACTGATTACAGAAGTGGCCAGTGACTAGAACAGCCTTTTTCATGTTAATCTTAATTTCTAAAGGATTTACAGAGTTGAACATTTCTAGTCATGCGACATCTGTGAATGGTGAAAATACACAATGAACAGGTATATATATGTCATTCTCATCTGCTTATGTCAATCGAATCAGAGTTCAACAGCTATTCTTAGATGTTATCTCAGCATAGGAGGGATTTGACCATTTTTGACAGATATATTTAGAAACATTAAAGTAATTAAAATCAACTGGTTTTAGTTTTTTGACATAATTAAAATCTATTACATTTTTGACCATTTCATAGTTTACAACGACCCCCTATTCATCAGCACCCGATACTTAGTATGTAACAGTCAGTGCTCCAAGACAATGCAAGGGAGCATCTTAAGACATTTCCAATAATTTGTCAACTGTCTCTTTAATAAACATCTTGTGTCTGAAATGGGCCTAAGGCAGAAAATCTGCATACTAAAATGTATTTTAAAACTGTTAAAAGCAGATAAAACTGTTCTTTTTCATTAGTAGTAATTAGAATGACTAACACTTTTAGAAAAAGCACTACCATGTTTAAATGATAAAGAAAAACAATGTATCCCAGAAGTAGGCTTCCTGAAGCCTTAAACTAAAATGTGTTTTACAAAAAGATAAATTTAAAAAAACTGTATAAACCCAAAGAAGCTTAAACCAATGACATCACCACCAGAAACAACATTCTCTCCAGAGAACATTTCCTACAATCCTCAAAGTAAGATGAATTGTTCTGAATGAGATTCACTTCAACTGAATAACAACATCCTATACTGAAAGTGCAAAAGATCACAGAGAACAGTAACAATTGGCATTTTCCTGACAGTTTCAATTAGAAAAAAAAATAAAAAAGAGGGAATCCTCAATAGCTGTAGCGCTTGAAATTCTTTTAAACAGGATTAGAGTAAATTAATCTATGAGACCTTTTCTATTAGCTATATTTTTGTGCGCCAGCAATACCAAATGTGGGAGGGTGCGTATACCCGATCTGATTCTATTACTCATCAGGATCACTACCAGCCTACCCTCAAATTGAAATTCTTTTAGGCAGAATTAGAATAAATTAATCTACGAGACTTTGGGCACAGTCAAATACATCAATCAAAAGAGTTTAACCTCCTGAGTCCAAAAACTGTAATCAAATCCGAAATTGGTCATGAGATGACAGAGCTATAAGCTAAACATTTGTACTTGAAAAACTCAGAGCCATCATGCTGTAGCTAAAAATTTGAAAAATTCTATGGGGATGGACGTAGTTTATTCTGTTTCATGAATAGAAATAAAAAAGAAAGCAGTATAGAATATTACAAGAGTACAGTATTGGAACATTACTTGATAAGACTAGCTTGTGATGATTTAGGTACACTGGCAAATCTGACAGACCTTAATTAATTGCATCCTGGTGATGAAGAATTATTTTACAAAGTGGTCAAAGATACATGTTACATTAATAAAAAAAAAGTTGAAACAACAAGTCCAAAGCTGGTTAACAAACTTATAATGCAACATGCAGTGTCCACAGAATTATATTCTTATCATTGATGTTTAACATTCCAGGTGATGAGAGGCTAGAATCCTTATACAATTATAGGCATATCTTTTGAGACACAGACAATATATGATCACACCACTGGGTTAAGCCAAAAGTTGTACAAAATATAGTAAAACATTGGTCAAAAGACATAGGGGTCTGCACACACCAGAGTGCAGTACCAGTAAGTTGTTGAGGTGGTACCATCAGGAAAGTTTCTTAGTGATAATCTATAAACATTAAATATAGTATTACAGTAAAATATTTTACAAAAGGCCTACTTACTCTGCTGCTCAATTAAAAAAAAAAAGCTTTAAAATTCATGGAAAGGGGATATTTGAGTGCTCACCCTATAGATATAATAAGTTCTGGTATAAAGGTTTCTGGGAAATATACTTGTTTGTGTAAAATTACATTGATGCCATTTTCAAGATAATGAATGTCATTACAGTAATAATTAGTATCGGAGGTGTGTATTGATCATGTTCACTTGAAAGATTATAGAAAATATCTGGTCTGTATTCATAAGACACAGTAGCTTATTGTGAGGTTCATTTGAAGTTATTATAAAATATGCTTTTCTTCCTCTACAAAAAATTGCATTCATGCTTCTCTTCTTTTCAACAGACTTCAAATGTTTATAACTGATAAATGCATGTGAAATAGCTGTGGTCCTCAAATTCACCACAAAAGTTGTTGTAACTCTATATATATGAAATAGCTGTGGTCCTCAAATTCACCACAAAAGATGTTGTAACTCTATATGTATGAAATAGCTGTGGTCCTCAAATTCACCACCAAAGATGTTGTAACTCTATATGTATGAAATAGCTGTGGTCCTCAAATTCACCACAAAAGTTGTTGTAACTCTATATGTATGAAATAGCTGTGGTCCTCAAATTCACCACAAACGTTGTTGTAACTCTATATGTATGAAATAGCTGTGGTCCTCAAATTCACCACAAAAGATGTTGTAACTCTATATGTATGAAATAGCTGTGGTCCTCAAATTCACCACAAAAGATGTTGTAACTCTATATGTATGAAACAGCTGTGGTTCTCAAATTCACCACAAACGTTGTAGTAACTCTATATGTATGAAACAGCTGTCAGTGGCTATTGTACATTTAAAGATAAATCTTGGAAATGTACTTCAAGAACTGTAACTGACAATTTGTAAATTTGCAACTTTCTTTTTTTTAATATTTGGTAAAATATAGTTGAGATTTATTAACCTCCATCAAATCTTCTTCAACACAGATTTGATAATTGTTACTGATGAGTTTTAATTATTAAGTTCTTTCAATACATCTGACAATCTTGGCAAGTGAACATTTTCAACTGTCTTATTTCCTTGTATTTCAGACTTTATAGTGTATACTAGAGGGATTTAGACATTTTGGCAATAAAGTTAGAAAAAGCAATCTTTACTTTTAATATAATATTAAAAAAACTTTTATTTTAATTTCAGCCAATGTTCTGCCATTGTGACTTCCTCAGGACTAATAGTATGAGCCCCGACGAAGCTGCAATAACAAAATGTTGGCTGAAATAAGAAGCTATTCTCCACACACAAAATATTTCGGGCTAGAAATCTGAATACAGATAAGCAGACAAAAGAAATATAATTTACATCATAGGCATAAAGCTACAGAAAAGTACATGTACAATCACATACTAGTTATACTTACGCTGGAGTTAACTTTGTTGATAGGTTGAGGTGCTCTTTTGTTACCCCATATTTAAGTTTTCTAAAGGTCTCACAATGTCCAACTGCTACGTACTTTTTACCATTAACCAAATCCTCTGGGCCTTTAATTTGAAATCCATCAATTGTGTGAAGTCTGAACACAAAAAATAAAAGTTTATATGTTAAACCTCTCAGAATCATACGAAAAATAATGCACTTTTTGTAACATGGACTTTAACTTTTTTAGAATATTTCTGGAAAAACAAAATCACATAAGTGACATTTTGGACAATAAATGAAACTCCTGATGATACAAGTATATTAAACTTTTTAAAATAGAAATCTGCTTAAAAATTCTTGCAATTCTAAGCTCTGCAAAATGGCAATTTATTTAAAATCCTTGAATATATATTAAGAAATTGCAAAAAAAAACTCAATTCAAAGTAGCCTGAAAATATGCAAGTTTTGTTTTAATCACTAATTTGAGTACTTTTGTTTCTTAAAACTGCTCAATTTAAAATTCTGAACCAAATAACAAAAACATTAAACATTTCTTAATTTAGCAAAACATCTATACACTTATAGAAACATTACAAATTATTGCAAGAAATCAGTGTATAAACTAGGTCATGGTGAAAAAAATAAAAATGGAGGTATAAAAAAAGAAAAAATACAAGTAGCATTTAACCACAGTGTGAGACCTTACAAGCAAGACTACAGTAAAAACAGAGTGATACCACTACATTAAAGTCCCATGCAAATATAGTTAGATTAATTCATGCAGAAAAGAAAACTACAGGAAATGCCATAACCTGTAATAAAACATGCCATTTGTTGATATGTTTACCTTACAACTTGGTCAGTTGACTCACCACTGGCAAGCACAAAGGAAAAAAAAAACACACAATAAAACATCAATTTGTGAACAACTCACGTATAATTTATAGTTATCTTTGCATTAAAACTTGACTCAACATGCATGACACTAACTATTATTGAAAAATACCTTTATTAACCTTTACAATATTATAAATACATTTGATGTATAATATATGACATTTAGAAAATTTTAACACCACATAACTTTAGTTATCAATATTAAAGAATATATGCAATGGCATATTCAGCGCGCAATTACCGGTGACGGGGGTGTGGGAAGTTATGAAAGGCCTGACAGACTTAAGAATTGCCAAGAAATGGAATAAATGTAGGGGACCCAATTTCTTTTTACGTGTGTGTGTGGGGAGGGGGCATCTTTTGTAGTTATGCCACTGAATATATGTAAGTATATTCTGAAGTAGTAATTGTGACAAAGTGAATATATAACAAAGAAAAAACCGTTATCAATAAATCAAACTACAAAACTTGATATTTTTAAACAGAGGATACAGGTTACCATAAGTATGAGCAGGAATCTTTACTTCTTTGGGAGAAGCTTTAATTTTTTTCTTACCATGTTTTGAAAATCAAGTCTCACAAATATAAATCAAATACAAAAACAAATTTTAGAATAGTATAAAATATATCAGCATATAACATGTACACTTTTAATGTAAAAATAATCAGATGGAAAGAGTAAATAATTCAATTTTAATTAAAACTTTTTACAAGGTATAACAAGATGAATATTTAGAATCATAAGAAAGATATATTACACGGTAAAAAAGGCACTGTAAAATCACCTTGTCACTTACAACTATCCTAAAATCCAATATTGAGTATGTATCTCAGGCATTTATGAACATCAATGAAAACATACCCTTATGCCTCTCTGTGAAAGATAGGTGTCAGATGTGTTTGAACACTTAAGTTGAAGAACAACATAACAATGTGTTCAGTTCATGTCTTTAATTAACAGAAATTACTTATGTTATTATGTTTCAATTTTCTTTGTATTAATAAAAGTGTGCAACTGTATAACTACTTTTGCCTCACCCTGAATATATTAGATTTGCTTCTGCAGGGTCCCCAAAAGCGTTGTTTCAAGAGTAAATAAAACCAAAATTAAGAATAACAAACATTTTTATTTCTTGCTTCAGAAGTTAATATGTCATGCTGTGTTGTAGCCTACAGAATGCATAATTATTCTAGTGATTCATGGCATGCACATGTTTTACTGCCGTCATGACAATACAAGTTCAACATTAAGCATACCCTAAGTGATGTAATTTTAGTGTCTACAGACTGATTGACAACACACTACTATATAGTGGTGTGAGTTGTTAAAACAGGTGACCCCCTCCAGGTGGCATTTGGCCCCCTTTTGGGGAAATTACATACATTAAGTGGAGTTTCTTATTAATAAGGAAGTACATTGTGCACAGAAAATATACTGACATACCTTTAAATGTTCAGAAGGTTGTGTACATCTGAACAGTATGATATCTATCTCAAAGCCATGGGCACAAAATTGGAAAAGATATTGTTAATTTGAGACATTATGGGATATGTTCTCAAAAGATCCTTTGGGAGATTAGTTTCCATTAGATAGATAAACTTCAAGTACTGGAGATTGGGGGCCACTCAGTAAGTTCTTAATTATTTAATCAATTCAGTCGGATTATGCCCATGGCTTTAAACCTACTTTAACTTGTTTTTCATTTTAGTTAAATCAAATGATACTAACATTTCGGGACTACTGTTAAAACTGGTTTTATGACTAAATGATTTTATGTTAATACACAAAAATATCCTACCTTCTGAGAAAACAGGATTGTGGCTGGACCTTTTCTCCAATTGTTTGTAACAGATGGTTCCAGTTTTTTAGTTCTCTTTTAGTGATGACAAATTTATGAGCTGGTGACAGGTCATCTCCATTCTTGAAGACACTGTTCAAATATTAGAGCAGCTTTATTTGACCAATTTAGGTTTGGCTTGGTGAAACATAAGGGGTTTATTTTAAATGTATTGCTGTTTACAATATGAAACAATTAAACATAACATGCAAGTTATTAAGGATCAAGAACGAATGGTATAAAGCAGTGTTTCCCAACCTTTTTTGCTGCAGCACCCCCTTTAACAAACAATGAGCACTGATTCTCCCTTCTTATAAACTTTTAATACAAATACTTTCAAAAGAGATATGTTCAATGAATGGACCAGAAGCATTGGGGGTGGGAATTTGCTTGCCACAAACACACCCACACAATGATTTTTGCTCAAACACATTGAAAGAACCCCCCCCCCCCATTTCTTATGGTTTAATTTTAACAAATATTACTTTGAAACTCTCAAAACTTTTCTGTCTGCCCCCCCCCCCCTCAAAGTTAACTACTCCCCACTAGGAGGCAGTACCACCTAGGTTGGGAAACACTGGCATAAAGTATTATGTTCATAGTATTTCATATCATAAACTCATAGTATGCATAATTTTAATATATCAGCACTATACAACCAACCAAGTTATAAATTACAGTAATTGATGTCTTTATAGAAATAAAATGTTTTGTTGAAAAGTCAAGATTGTAAATTATAAAAAAAGCCATGACTGGTAATTTTGCTTGTAAAGTTTTTATGTGGTCTCTAAGATGCCTAATATCACACTAAACAGAAGTTTAAAACTTAATCCAATATAGCTATAAGTTATTTCACATGTAATACAATTATTATCTGAAGTTATAACTATATTCAATAGTCATTGATTTGATGCCACTATTATTTGTAATATACATTAATGGAACTTACAATACTGTAATAACTTCCGGTGCAGATTTGTAAACTTTAGAAGCTGCTTGGATTCTGCTATGTACAACAGGTTTGATCTGTCAAAAGAAAAATATTTACACAAAACTAAAACCATGAAATGTTGTTTACTAGTTCATTCACATGCGTAGTCCATAAACCATTCTTGCAATGTTTTATAGAATTAACTGAATTATAATTCTTGCTTACACTGCAGAGGAGCACCCACAAACAGTATGTTTAACCAACTCAGTGGAAGTCGTACACAGGTTTTTTAAACCAATAATGTAACACTTATGAATAGAAAATCACAATAAACAAAGGAGTTAGCACAAATTAAGTATCACTGAATTATCCAGATTAAGCTTGGCTAGCTGCTTGGGTTTAATAAGTTCATGACCTACTGAAAGAGAAAACAGTACGTATAGGAAAAATATCCACATTCTTGGAAGCTATACAAGGCTTAAACAGATTTTCGAAAACTGGTCAGGATTTTTAAAAAAAAACTAATATTTTCCAAATAACACTGAAGATGTGTTTCTGGAATAATAATGAATTTATGATGTAGAGTAATGTGTTTTAAGGAAAAAAAGTTACATCTTACGATGCAACAGTAATACTATCTCTAATTGTAGACTAGATCTAAGAGAGCATGCAATTGAGTGATGTTACAACTGCACCACAACTAAAACAACCCAAATAAGTGCTCCCTATGAAAAATGAATCCAGGCAGGATGATGCTATTGATATGCTATCAGAATCTCACTGAATCCAGTCGAGATGATGCTATTCATATTCCATTAGAATCTCACTGAATCCAGTGGGGATGATGTTATTCATATGCCATCAGAATCTCACTGAATCTAGTGGGGATGATGCTATTCATATGGCATCAGAATCTCACTGAATCCAGTGGGGATGATGCTATTCATATGCCATCAGAATCTCACTGAATCCAGTGGGGATGATGCTATTCATATGCCATCAGAATCTCACTGAATCTAGTGGGGATGATGCTATTCATGTGCCATCAGAATCTCACAGAATCCAGTCGAGATGATGCTATTGATATGCTGTCAGAATCTCATTGTTCAGATACTACATAATACTCTCTACAGAAATGAAAGAAACAAGAGAAAATGAAACCAAGGAGGTCATAAAAAAATTATCTGAGCTTACTTTTACACCAAATCTGAACAATACATAATTAGGCCAATAATTCTTTTAGAATCCTCATTATCAACAAAATGGTGGAGTTTTGGATGTTCTCCATGCTGAAAATCCATTTACAAATGAAGAAACACATCAGATCATGCAAAAAAATAACTTAAACAACAGTTATGTTCCATTTCAACTACCACAGCTGACTAATAGTTGTGATGAAATAACTTCACACTCTATGTTGTCCAGAGCATCTAACAGCAAAGCCATTCATTTCAAAAGAAAAATCAGGTCAGAATAAAACAACAAACCTGCAACAAAAAGCATTACTTTTACCACTCCGCACAATTAAAGAAAAAAACACCCGTGTTCCAAAAGATTAAATTTAATCATCCTAAGATTGTTAAATAGAAGGTGGAAATTTCTATATAGATTATGGACGCATCATTTTCTCCCCAAAAGTTGACAACAAATAATGGTCATTAAGTAAAAAAATGATAAAACATTGTCAGAGTCAGAATGATTCTACCATTTATTGAAAGCCTAATATAAAGACACTACCATTCAATGTGTCAAAGTACATTAACAGACTAATGGTAAATTAGTCTGTTAATGTCTAACATGAGTAAAAGTCATTTCAGAGTAGTTACTCCCTCTTTAATAATGATAGTAATAACATAAAAAAGAGAGAGAAGATGTAAGAGGCTGATGTTCTAGAAAAACAAAACACATCCACGTTGACAAACTATTCTTTTAACAGAGATTTTACACAGAAGCCAGGTAAGCCACCTAGCTGAATACTGCAGTTAAGACAATGTGAAATGTACATAACAAAATTTAGGATTTGTAAGCAGAAAACTTACTGGGTCCACAGATAAAAGACCCAAGATATTGCTCTGGAAACAGAAAATAAATCCAAACTGATCTGTGTCAAATGATGCAAAATATTTTCACAAGAAAAGCAAGCAGCAACAAACTCAACAGCTACAGGATGTTAATTAACAGGCCACATGTAGAATATTTAACAGTATCTATGACCAAACAAAACAGGATCTAAACACAGCAAAATAATGTTGACAATCAAAAACAAAACAAAACAAGATAATAAAAACCTAAAACCAATAATACTTTTTTTTTAACAGTGAAAATAAGACTGGCCAGGAGTGTGTGTGTGTGTGGAAGGAAATAGTTTCCCTGCTATGCCATTTTATATCAAATAAATGTGGAAACTTAATAAAGGAAGAAAATTAGATCTCAAAGGAACAAGCTCTATGATGCTATGTCACTTTGTGGCAGCAATAGTGACCTAGATCACACAGGGTTTTTAGTATACATTTTACCCAGCATTTTATCATTACACTATTTTTCCAAAAAAACATCATTTTTATTATCATATTTATATGGAAATTAAAACTACTATCAAACTCTATACATCAGTCCTTAGATTCAAATTATATCAAATGTAAACTATTAAAGCATAAGACTGAAGATGTTTTAACAAAAATATCTAGTGCATGATTAATTCTTATTCCCACTTATTCAGTTTGATACATATGCAGATAATCAACTGATTGCATACACCGATACTAATATATACAAATCCAAAAACACAATGTTAAATGTATCAATACATAAACATTTAAAGATAATGTAACCACTCTTTACTTCAGTTAGAAATGTTTAAAACTTAAGTAAAAATGGCTTTCTTCTGATGTCAAATTCATACCCTGAAAACAGTTTTAGAATATAAAATGAAATTAAGTGAAGATTTAGAACTACTAATTCATAATGTTTTGGAACTGTTTACCTTTGAGTAGGTTTTATGCACTGGTTTTCTTGTTCTTCCTCCAATTTCTCCATATCTGCATTGAAAAGTTTACATTAGATAAATGTTTTTTAATATTCTGACCTTTTCTTTAAAATGATTTTTTAAAAGACAAATATTATTGATTTATCTGATGCACATATGACTAAATTTTTAAATTTTGTGCCCTGTACTTTTATATTCTAGCTTAATTTTTTGTAGATGTCTATGGTTATTTTTTACTTCTTGTTGCTTCAGACGTGTTATAGCAAAATTAAAGTTTATGATTGTCTGAGGAACAATTTTGGTTAATGAGATGGATTGGTATGAAACATTCCATGTGCTGGATATAAAAAGGCTTCACAATATGATAATTCATTAAGAAAAGCAGTCATACTCCTATTGGAAACTACAAACAAAGATACTGACTCATCTGACATATTTAATTCACTTGAATACTTCTCTCTCAAAACTTCACTCAATGTCTTTTGCATATGTAGGTAACTCTATTATATGTTAATAGTTAAAAATAAGTATAGCAGCACTAAACATCTACATATGTATCTATGTTATGACCATACTGGTTGAGAATGTGCATAAATATGTTTTTTTTATCAGCTTCAGGCAAGTTTGTTTTTTAATTTTGCACAAAGCTACACAAGGGCTATCTGCACTAGCTGTCCCTAATTTAGCAGTGTAAGACTAGAGGGAAGGCAGCTAGTCATCACCACCCACTGCCAACTCTTGGACTACTCTTTTACTAACGAATAGTGGGATTGACCATCACATTATAATGCCCCCACAGCTGAAAGGGCAAGCATGTTTTGCAGGATGGGGATTCGAACCCGCAACCCTCGGATTGCAAGTCAAGCACCCTAACCACCTGGCCATGCCGGGCCGAGGTTCAGGCAAGCATAACTACTTTCAAGGACAAAGTTTTTATATTTTTAAGTACTTTTCAAAAATGTTGCCTAATTTACACAATCTCTCACAGTTACTCAATCATTAAAAAAACATTTCTACAAGTATTCAAAAAGAATATGACAATTGAGAAATACCAATGATAAAAAAGTGATCAAATAAAAAATATCTCATTATTTTGGTTGACTAAAATTTTGCAATCACACATAAGCAGCCTCGATAATTAATCTATTGAAACTAGTTTTCTAAAAAAAATTAGTTATTTCACACTACAAAAAATTTTTCTTCAAAATGTTTTGTTTGTTTTACAATTAAAACACATTATAATTACATTTTTTTGAAATTGAATTTTTTCTTTTTTTCAGTTTTTACTTTTTTTCTATAATTCTGTTATGACATCTCACTATATTGTTGAGGTGTAGCATACAGGTTTGAATTACGGGTACATTAATATAGCTTATGACTGATATAAACAGTAAGAGTTCATATGAACCACAGATACTCTATTAAGTTGTTAATTAGTCAAATACCCAAACCATGGGTCAGGTTAAATACTTGCCATTTGCAATAAACTTTTTGTTTTGGTGAAAGCAAAATACTTTCTGTTCATCCTTGTGCCTATATGAAAAGAATAGTGATGAAATGAATACAGCAGAGACTGAACACTTCCAAGTCAATTTTGAATATTTTACAGCTGTATCATAAGTACTGTTTGCAGCCATAGGCTGCATAAATATCAACACTATTTCAAAAAAGTTAGGAGAGACAAATAATAATAAAGTATTAGTGTGTACAAATCTGCTATTGTTTACTGAAGAAAAATGGCATCAAATCAAAAAATAAAAATTTTAGATATAATCAATCAGACACAACTCTGTACGATTCTGACAATCACAACTTCATTTGCATCATATTTCATGTGTACTATTATTTAGGTTAGCATGATCATAAAAGAAAGCCAACAAAGTTTCACCAAACCTAAAATCTGTTTCCTTCTTGGAGGATGTTATTTGTTACCTGGATAATAAATAAAATGCGTAAATTGTGTACCAAGATTTCCCCAGAGCTTTTGATAAGATGGCACACAACATATTATCTCTCTGTAAAAAACACAGGTTAGGCCTCACTTGGAATACTTTGCACATTTTAGGAATTAGTAACCAAGAATATTGACTTACTAGAATGGATTCAAGGTTGACAACTGTCCTACTTAGACTTTAGAGATAAAATGTTAGAAGCTGTCTAAAAAAGTGGACTAAATCGTATAACGTGCTATATGGAGAGCGCCTTACAAAAAAAATTCTACTTCAAACTTTTCAAGAGTTGGCAACCCTAACTAAGATGGTTCAAGAGATAAAAAAGTCTATTTTCTTCACTTTACACTGAAATTGAAAAATTTATTGTGGTTTTGGGTTTTGTTTTTCTCTCTTACGAGTCCAAGTACATGAAAGATTCTATAAGTATAATTAAGAAAGATACAACCTTAAAAATGGTTCTTAGTCTTAGTACTATGTAGGATATAGTTGAATACTAGTGATTATAGCCACTGATTTGTTAACTTTTAGATCTTATTTTAAAATCAAAATGATATAAATAGTCCTAAATCAGAACAAGTGTAATTCAAAGCGTCTATCAATATGAAAAGTCAAAACTGTAGTCTGATCTACTAGTAGTACCACACTGTGTTTAACTTTAGTTTAGGAATATTGTACAAGATTTTATAAAATTTTCACTGTATAATATTTACATACCCTGGTTCAAACTTTTTGAAACGTTCATTGCCTGCGGCCACGTACTTGTGGTTATTTTTCAAATATTTGATTTCTTCTACTTTTGTTCCATGTACAGGAGTATAGATGTTTCTTACTGCACCAAAGCTTGGTTGAAGTTTTTCTGTCAAATAATTTAATACAGATTCATAATTTCTGTAATTTTTATTATTTATCACACATTTAAAACCTGGAAAAAATTCATCGCCGTTGATGTAAACGTGGACCCATTTCGCTTCTGGAACGTTTGACTTAACCACACTTCCACCAGTTGTACTAGCTGTCTTAGAACTATCGGCACCTAATTTTGATGACGCCATCCTAACGATGGGTTAGTGCAATGTAATCCATGAGAAGGCAGGAAAATAAAGTGGATTTTTTTAGATATCATAAGGTACTTTCATTGAAGACAAACTTAAGGTTCAATAATAATTTAAATAAGGCCAAGAAATACGAATCAGTTACCTAACCCTAACCTCTCCACGAAATATTGATAGTGGTATGTTTAACGTCATGCAAAAAAGCAGTACGTTGCCTAGGGAACGCTTTATTGCTTCAAAGAATGCTGATAACGTCGGACTTTTCAATAAGTGAAGTGATGATTGGAAAACGACGTGTCAGGGTACAACACATCTAATATAGTCGAACTACTGGTATTAAAGTATGATTACTCGTTTTTATCTGCAGTTTAAGTTGCGCGATAATAACACTTATTTTTAATAGGTGCAATATTTTCGATAGATAGTGTATTTTCTGGAACCAGTGATCGATGATTTAGATTTGATATTATGATATAACAAAGAATCATTCGACTCGACTATTGTCAGTAAAATAGCAATAACTATTTATTCTTTTATATTTATTATTTGTTGTCCCTCCACCAGAAAAAAAAATCGTTATGTTCAGTTTCGTCCTAAAAACATCAACTTCGTACAATGTAAAAGAAAACCGTCTTGTAAAATTAAAATAATGGTAATAATCTTCTGATTTTCAGTAAAACGAGTACCATACTAACTGGGTCTATTTGGTTTTTAACGTAAAACTATACGATCGGTTATCCGCGCTTTGCCCACTGTAGGGATCAAATCTCGAAGATTTGCATGTTAAAACCTCGTGTTTAGCGCTGAGCCAGCGAAAGTGGATAACAGATTCCGTGGCCAGCCAGGGGTCCATTTAAATAAATTTATTGTTTTAACACTATTTTAATCACGTTTGATCAGTGCATATTTTCCAGCTAACGGCTTATAGCGCGGCTTATAGGGATGAGCGATAATCGTGTAATTATATATTTTTATCAAATTCTATTTGTGTGAAATAGTTTTCATTCGTGTAATTTTGTAGTCATATAGGTCCAGTGACGTAGTTAGCACTTCATAGTGGGGGAAAGTGGTGTTTTTCGAGAAGAATGTGGATCTTCTACAGAAATAATTTAAGTGATTTACATGAAAGTCAAGTGTTTATTTAATTTGAAAAATAAGTAGATAGTGAACCTTTTACACTTTTTAGAAAATTGGAGTAGTCGTTTGACCTCCGCCCCTACCACCACTAGCAAGGTCCCTGAGATCTATACTTTACTAAGACTGATAATTAATGTTATAAACATTGAATTGTAAAGGAAAAAAATTGCAAAATGTATTTTTGTTTCATTTATAAACTGTACTAGTACAAGTGTGGTATATAAGCATACTATGTATTTTCTGCCTCATTTTATTAATATCAGAAATACTTAAAATTTGTTATTTGGGCAAGTATGTGCAGTTTCTACATAACACGTTAGTCAAGAACATCATTAATTTCCTTTTGCACTACTACCTATTGTTCTGTGCAACTCACCTAGAGTAGTACCTGTTGTGTTCCCATGGGAAGGCTAGCTGCAAGGTCACTCAGGGTGTTTGAAATTAGATAGATACCTCTTGAGGTGATGATCTTTTTCGCATTTCATTGAAAACAGCCAGTCATGTGTCACTAGTCACTCTAGGTTTCTCTGATGCTGACGATTTAAGTGTTAATATGACCTTTATTCAGGCTGGAAAACGATCTCAGCCAATAAAGTCTAGAACAAGATCACGAGTATACAGTCTGTATTTATTTTAAATAGATATTATGTATTGTGATTGTGTTCAGTTTTTTTTTTTTTGCTTCTAACGAATTCAATCATTTAATTAATTCGCAGAAGATATTTTGACGAATCTCCCATTATTAAGTGGACCTGTCTTGTCATTTTTAGGAGAAATCAGTTTTATCTGAAAATACTACACCAGTATATATCATAGGCTATGCAACATTAAATGCAGCACCCGCTTAATGTTCATTATAAATCCCTCTACCCTCATCTCACTGGAGGGTTAATATAAAAAGTTATTTTCCCTGGCTGTTAGTTCTTGGGTAGATGGATGAGTAGCTATAACTATCTATTGTGTACCATGGTTTACCTCTGAGAGCTTTTAGTAAAAATCGGAATTGATATGGGAGTCGACAAGGTGTCAGCAAAAGTTTCAGTTGAAATGTTTTTTTAAGTAATATAAAACAGCCAATTGTATGACGAACTTTCAAAAATATTATTAAAATGGAAGTAATATTGCAATTAAAGTGGTCTTTACTGTAAATGTAGGTATGGTATTTTTAGGTTTACTGACTACCTTACAGGTAAGAGTTGCATTTCAAATAACTGAAAATTCGAACAGAAAAGGAATTACAGAAGTAAATGATTGAGTTGAAGAAAAGAGACTGAACTCAGTGTTGAATAATGTAAGATCAGTATTTATTTATAAGAACAATAAACAAAAAAGATGAGTGTAGATATTTCCTAGAGATTCAGAATATTTTTTCCATGGAGCTCTGGTCATATTCTGTAGAGATTTTGTTCTTTAATGGGAGAGTATAACATTATACTAACAATAACGTCGTTTCTCCCAGAGTGTAAATGCTACTCGTCATTGGCCGTTCAAGTGAAAGTAGGGTGAGTTTAACTCCTGACATTTTAAAAAGGAAATGTGACTAGAAAATGCTAAAATCAGATCAGAAAGTAAAATCTCGACCAACTTCGCCATGAGAAACATCTAGAAACACTAAAGTGAGACATTCACCTTGACTGGGTGTGACTAGCATATAAAATAACGTCAATATCGCTATCCCTACTGTTACAAGTTAAGAACAAAGAAAAATCCATGCACCTCACAGGAAATCTTGTTTGATGGGAAAGTCATTTAATAGACAGGTTCCAGCAGCCCAATGCTCAGATGAACATAAACTCTAATCTCGGGAATTGCCAATCAGCGAAGGTGCTGGATGCACCTTAACTTCCTGGCGTACAAATCTTCCGTGTTTCCACCTAATCTGTGCCTCCCTCAGCAATCACCTCTCATCACAGGAAAGGCCTGTTCTGCCCCATAGTCCATGCTCTCCCCTCCTAGGTGCCTGCTGTATTGCAACTCCAGTTGCCAGAACTTAGCTGCTATCTGTATCCCTTCCCTTGCTATTGGATAGCTGAGTACCATTGTTCTTTAAAATTTTCTTCTCTGACTCGTCCTCGTTGGTGAGAACCTGCTCAGTTATCTGCTGAAGAAACAGCTGCTGTTGGTACCTATCCACCACTATTAGCATCTTGTTTCTGAATATGAGCTAAATAATCAGCTGCTTCCCTGCCTGAGGAAGGTATTCGCCTCATTACTGACTATTTTTCTCACTTATCAGGGGCTGCTGTCCCATCCATTGGCAGGGTGGCATACAATGGCAGCTTTCAAACAGTAGGAAAAGCTGTCTCACCTATTGAAAGGATGACTCAGATTGGCGTCTTTCACCAACCAATGAGATAGCTGTCCTACCTGCTGATGAGATAGCTTACGTCAGCTAACAGTCACTGGAAGGTCACCTATTGTCATATAAAACTGTTATACAGTTTGAAACATTAACTATAGTGAGAGGTTAAAATAATGGGAGGCAAAACTACACTGAGACAAAATGCTAGTGCCCAAATTAACCAAGGTTTCTCATGACCTGTTTCCGAAAGCCCTCATATGGGGCTTCTACTTTCATGACCCTGTTTCTATATCGTGCTCTTCTGAAGTTAGGTCTTACTCATTTCAAGGGGTGGTACAGAAGCTTGTACAAGTTCGTGCGAATTCAGGTTTATCTTATTTGAATGTGTATAATATAAATTATTATTAACATAAGTAATCTAAGATTGTGGGATACTGCACAAGGACTTCTCTCTGACTTGAAAGTATTTATCTCGTGCAGATGTTCTTTCCCCAGCTATAGCAACCAGAGAAGTTCTACATAACGAACACAGAGACTGCTCAGTTTAACTAAGTAAAGCCCCAGCAATACGTTTCTGTGACCTATATGAATGAAGATTTTGTTTTATTCATTCACTTGTGCTTGCTTAATTCCCCTGGCTGTTCATGTTCGAAATTATTCTCTGCTTAATATTTCCAGAATCTGTTGTGTATTTTGGATTCTTACAACTTACTGTTGGGCAACAATGTTTATGAATGTCACAGTAGATGATTAATGTAAGTTATTTCTCTAATCTAGTTCCTGTTATTAGTTACATAAAATTATCTTTATGCAATACTGACCATAAAAGTGCCATAAAAATAGCATCTTATACAACGTGTATAATAATATATATTAACAGAAGACGTGTAAAATTTATTTAATTTTATACTAAATTATAGTTAGTGCCTATTATACAGTACATAACATGACAACTATAGTTATAATTCAAGTAAATAAATGATGAATTATTTACTTTACTTGCTTTTAGACATTCAGACTTTTACAGTACTTTGTATCAACTCTTTCGTGGGAAAATAACGTACGAGCAACATTTTTCTCTAGCCGTCATCAGCATATCGAGACTCGATTCTTGGACCTTCAAGTTAACCACTACAAACATTCTTGCATTCAGCAAACAACACATTGGTTAACTTTTACTTTATTCTAATGTTTTATCGTTTGAGCTATAACAATAAATCACACAATTTATTCCATATATTTTTTGTGGGACAAGAATTTGTATTTCTATGATGTAGTTCTGAATTTTACTTGTGAACTCTGTTCCATTTAATATGCATTGCATGCACAAATTGCTTCTTTTTTTTCCATAAGTTAAACAAAGTATGGAATATTTATTACAACGCAAGCCTTTATATGATGTATATAATTACATGTAACACAAAGAAGTATCTATTGTTTCCTACCTTCGGGATCAGGTGCATAAACGAGACTTGGAACCCATATTCACCTAACTTTGTACAGAGAACACTAAGTTAATGTTAAACATATAAAGTAACCGAAATATATAGGAAATCACAGTTCCACAGAATATAAAAAAGGAAATTCAGCCGCCTAAAATGCTAAATCGTAACATAGAAACAAAATGAAGTTTGATCCCTACATAGAAACATGCATGTTCTTTTTATAAAAGCAAAATTAATCTTGAAAAAATAAAACAAAACTAAGGTTTCATGTTTCACAATAAAACTCTGTAATGTAATATAATCTATAAAGTTAAAGATAAATAAAAACAAACTGTATTATTTGAAATGAGAGAATAGATACAAACAGACACTAAAATCTTAATAAATCCAAATAGCATACGTCAAAATAATGCCGAAAATGTTCTTAATTTTATATAAGAAGTATATTTTGTGAAGTAAATAACTATCAATACAACGCAGCCACAATTCAAACGAGGCTTAAATTTTAAGATATTACACTAAATTTTAAAGTGAAAAATATTACACTTTTGAAGATAGAACAAAGGGAAACTGCACGAAATTATAAAGACAAGTCTGTAGTACTTGGCTTTCCTACAAAAGAACTCTCTCAGTGCCAAGCTGGTTTTCATACGAACAACTCTCTCAGTGTGTCAAGCTGTCTTTCCTATAAACAACTCTCTCATTGTATTAAGCTGGCTTGCCTACAAATAATAGTCTCAGTGTGTCAAGCTGGCTTTTCTACAAACAACTCTCTCAGTGTGCCAAGCTGGTTTTCTTACATACAACTCTCTCAGTGTTAAGCTGGCTTTCCTTACAAAAGAACTCTTTCAGTGTCAAGCTGGTTTTCATACGAACAACTCTCTCAGTGTATCAAGCTGTTTTTCATACGAACAACTCTCTCAGTGTGTCAAGCTGGTTTTCCTATAAACAATTCTCTCAGTGTGTCAAGCTGTCTTTCCTATAAACAACTCTCTCAGTGTGTCAAGCTGTCTTTCCTATAAACAATTCTCTCAGTGTGTCAAGCTGTCTTTCCTATAAACAACTCTCTCAGTGTGTCAAGCTGTTTTCCTATAAACAACTCTCTCAGTGTGTCAAGCTGTCTTTCCTATAAACAACTCTCTCAGTGTATTAAGTTGGCTTTCCTACAAATAACTCTCTGATAATGTTAAGGAGTAAGAAGATAGCTCACACGTTCTGCTTTTTCACAGATATTCTTTGAGATCAGTCTCGCTATTAAACTGTCAGTTGGTCTATGTTTATTGCAGTACGCAACATGGCGTATTTCCAAAGGCCTTCATACGATAATTATTCTGTAGTAAGGTGGTGGTGACATAAGTTTCTTTGGAGTTATTTCCAAGAAATGTTGACTGGAAATACTGACAAACAAGTTCAAAGTTAGCGTATAATTACAGCTTGATTATTAATTGCAAATCAAAGAGATTTAGACAAATTGATTATAAAATTTAACTTTCACCGGTTGAAGCTGCTACGAATAACTAACATCATTTAATGTTATGTAATTTGAATACTTTGATTTTTACTTAGAATTAAAGAGGGATAGACAAGATTCTCAGATACCGACATCTCATCAATTCACAAACTTATTTCAGTAATTGTCCTAAAAGTCGGCGGCAAATTCTTTATAAATGTACCTGAGAAAATTATATTGAATTGCTATCATATGAGATTAACATTTAGAACCATAGCCATGTCCTTTACACACACTTTCTCCGTGTATTTACTTCCCAGTGGAGACTACAGTATGCTATATTTTGAGATTGGTGTTTTCTTAACTTTGGCTTGGGGGTCTTCTGTCAGACTCTTGCTTCAATCAACACTCTACAACTTTTAAATAAGATATTAATATTTTAGAAACTTTTCTAGTCCCTAAACACCTTCTATAATGAGCAACACACACACACACACACACAGACGAATAATTTCTATGTTTTTATTATTATACATCAGATAAGGATGTTGAATTCGAAACCTTAGATAAAGAGTTCACTCTAATTAGATTTCTAGTGAAAATAAATAAGTAATGATGAATAGATTGGCAACTAACTAATACTTTGAGAAAGCGATATCAAAATGATGATTTTTTGGAACACAAAAATATAGAGAGAAATATTCTGAACCCTGGGCTGCTACGCCATTTGTCCATATAGCTTACTTGTTATTTGTTGTTTTTTAAAACATCATGATTGAATATAGATTTAATCTATTACTCTAAGTAACTTTGAATTTGTTACGTTTTGGTGGTTATTTTTGATGCTACGATAATCTCACTAATAGATAGTATTTTTTTTCTAGCTTACATTTGTTTGTTTGTAATTAAGCACAAAGCTACACAAAGGGCTATCTGTGCTCTGCCCACCACGGGTATTGAAACCCGGTTTCTAGCGTTGTAAGTCCGCAGACATAAGAACCAGGCCAAGCCAGGTAGTTTATATATACATGTGTGTGTGTGTGTGTGTGTGTCTATTTCTATCAGCATTTATGATTTTACAAACCTTTTTGTCACTTGGCGTCTGGATACTTACAGTCTTCCCATATTTTCATTAACCTGTGGATTTGCCAACAGTAATTCGAATGTATGACAATAAAAAATAAAAAAATAATTGTTTCACTTTTAAAATGTTAAAACAATACTTAACTATTTATGTAAAATAAAATGCTAAGCTAACGCGTTACTCTTAATGCGAGGCAAAAATGCTAAACAAGCCTGTTTGCGGCAAGAAAAACTCAAGAGTTAAGAGTAAGGGGAAAATACAGTTGAAACAAATAGCTGAAAATATATATAAACTGTGTAAGAGTAAGGGGAAAATACAGTAGAAACAAATAGCTGAAAATATATATAAACTGTGTAAGAGTAAGGGAAAATACAGTAGAAACAAATAGCTGAAAATCTATATAAACTGTGTAAATCTCTAGAAAATCTGTTCTTCGAACTCCCCAAACTGACTTGAACATGTCACCACTATCTTACTACAAAATAATTATCGTATGTAAGAGAACCAGATAAGCAGACTTTTGGCTTCATTTAACCTAGTTTACTACTTAAAAAAAAAGAGTAAAAGTTAGTAAACTCACTTGTGCACCCATCTGCGTTCAACTGAAGAACTATGAAAATACAACATAATTTTTTAAATTTTACATTTTAATTAAAAGGATGAAAAACGTATATCACTATAATTTTTTTTTCTTCTGCAAATTTAGTGAATATCCTCTCAGGTTACAACAAACGTATTTTGTTTTGTTCTTTTGTTACTGTGTTCCATTAAGCAACTGGAATTCTTTGTTATTAATTATTTTAAATTTTGTCTTTGTCTCGTAATTTGGAATCAAACTCACCAGCTTATTGGTTCAGAATATTCGTACAAATACTAACATACAGGCAAGACTATGTTTTATTTTATTTTTTGTTGAAAAAATTGATTTATCTGAAACATACACTGATGATGATGATCGATTATTAACATCAGACTAAAATTTCGAATTTAGTTCTAGTGAAGTTGCTCGCGTAGTTTGTTGTGGTACAAGCAAAATTGTCTTTTTTATATCTAAAAAAACGTTTTACTTACGTAAAGTATTCACTAAGAATGATCGATAGGTAACGTCAAACACTAAACTTGTGAGCACAAAGCTAATGAATTTGCTCGCGTAATTTAGTCTTATTATTACTTTATTACTTGCAGACGTCTATCTATCATTCTTTATATGCCAATTCGCTTAATAGTGACTGTTTTAAGTAACAAGTTAGCCATTACACTTCAACTGGTTACATGTTGGCGAACTTTTCACTGTCTTATGTTCATTCTGTATATTTAATTTCAATTTCACTTTTGTTTTGTTTGGGGGGGGGGGGTAGTTTTAGGTCTCTTTAAAATGTATAGTTAACTGAACGCAACATACACTCTTTATTTTTATTTTTTGCTGTTATTATGTTTTAAGATGATGATACTTGTAATTTACAAAATATTTTAATAAATAACGTTACGTATAATTTATTCCAGAGAATTCCACAACAAAACTGAACGTAATAAAATAATGAAGATATTTTATTTGACAGTTTACTTTTATCAGATGCTTACATTAGATTGTAGAAAGCTATCCGCACTAGTATAATACTATATATCGTATAACTAAAACGAGCAGATAATTAAGATAACTATGCAGGACATATTTAATTATGAAACGCATTTCGATGGTTGATTTGTTGAACTACAAGAAATACATATATCATTTTACAAATCATAAATAAGAACATTATAATATGAAATAGAAATGGCGTTTTTTTCTGTGATACACATTAATATAAAAATGTAATTTCCTTCACTTCCATACTTAAGAAATCGGAGTCTTTTCACTTTGTAATAAAACACAAAAACAGTCACTAAAGAATTCTCGATCTTATAAAAAATTACATAGTTTAGCTATAGAAATGTTTAAAAAATGCAGTAACAACATAACTGTAAAATAAAAGTAATAGATTTTTTCAAAAACGCAATTTTTACAAACTATCTCAGCTACTTTTTTTTATCACAAAATTTCGATAAAAATGTGATATTTGCTCACTTGGAGGAAAGAAATATTTAAATTGATATATATAACAGCTTAAACATGTGTGTCTTCTAAAAAGTTTTTTTCTCTTTTTTTCAAACCACATTGAATTTGACACCTTACTAAGCCTTGGACTCCAATCACAACAGAGCTTGAAGCTAATACCATGCTTCTCTTCAATCGAGAGTTTCGTTTGTAGGCAACGAACCAATTCTGTGACTCTACTTATCAGCATAATTATCCCATAAAAACTATTAAATCTTATATTAAAAGATAGATATGAAACTACCACAGTTGTGCAAACTACACAATAACTCCCTCACTCGGGGTTTCTATTAAAGAGCTAATAAAACAGACCCGTGTGAACAGGATTTTAGTGAATGTAAATATAATAACGTTTATAATATTTTCAACTTGATCAATCATAGGCAATATCTTGTAAAGACCAGTTACAGTGATTAGCATCAATAAAATTAAGACTCGTCTTTCTCGAGAAACCCAACCAAATAATTCAGCTTTTAAAATAATAATCTCGGAAAATTACATTACCATTTCTTCAAATATCATGGTCTTCCAGTGGGTAAACAGTAAGTTTATGGACTTAAAACACTAAAGTACGAGGTTCGATTCCCCTCGTTGAACAGAGCGTAGATTGCCTATTGTGTAGCTTTGCGCTAAAACAAACTAAATCAAATACATTTTATTGTCAAAGACTAAGTTAGACATTCTTCATAATAGAAAATAAAATAAAAAACAAACATGTTGATAAAATGCAGCAAACTTATCCTGAAAATATAGAATAGTGAAAGATACAGGTAATACACAGAGAGAGAAGGGCCTCAGAATAGGACAAAAGTCTTAGTTTACATTATCTAATGCGATGAGAACGTGGCGATATGAAACTATGACGAATTAATACATTTTTTTTTTTTGTCATAAAAGTTAATAGTGCGTTGTATAAATATCTCTCGAATAATACAAAATAAAAGTTTCTCTACTCATTACATACAGTGGATGGGACGGTGTTATTCCAAAAATTAAAACAATTCTGCTGAATTACATTAATCAGAATATATTTCTCTAAAGGCATAAAAGCTATCAAAAATTTATAATTGCTTATATGTCTTTAATAAGAGACGAATAAGCGTGACAAGAATAGCAAATAACAACAAAAATAGTACACTACATTTACAATCAATTTCTGTGTTAAGATACAAACTGGTGTAAAAATATATTAAGTACAGCATAATAACGTTCAGTTGGCTTTGATTTCTACGGAAACGTTGTTCTTCATGTCAGCGTAAAATTGTTTCCTGTTCAATGGTTTCGATTTTTGTGATGTTGTCTTAGCTACGTCTTTATTCTCTTCTTTAATCATAACCGTTGGACTTTCATCAATTTCTAGGATCTTTTTCTCTCCAGTAGATGAACTGTTTTCGTATTTTGAGCCATCCTCCTCAACAGTTGTGTTAAATGAGTTGTCTTCAAGGTCCAGGCCATCTTTCTTAACAGGCATGTTAGATGAATTGTCTTTAGAATTCATGACATCATCCTCAACAATTATGTCAGATGATTCGTTTTTAGGATCAAACCCATCCATCGTAGCAAGCATGTTAGATAAATTGTCTTTAGAGTTCATGAAATCCTCTTCAGTAGTCATATAAGCTGACTCTTCTTCAGGTTCTGAGCCATCTTTCTTATAAGGGATTTTAGATGAATTGTCTTTAGAATTCATTCCATCATCTTCAACAGTTATGTCAGACGATTCGTTTTTCGGATCAAAGCCATCCATCGTAGCAAGTATGTTAGTTGAATTGTCTTTAGAGTTCATGAAATCCTCTTCAGTAGTCATGTAAGCTGACTCTTCTTCAGGTTCTGAGCCATCTTTCTTATCAGGCATTTTAGATGAATTGTCTTTAGAATTCATACCATCATCCTCAATAATCATGCTAGCTGACTCTTCTTCAGGTTCTGAGCCATTTTTATTAATATGTGTGTTAGATAAATTATCTTTAGAATTCGTGCCATCCTCCTCAATAATCATGCTAGCTGAGTTGTTTCCAGGGTCCAAGCCAACTTTTCTAACAGGCATATCAGACGATGTGTCTTCATGATTCATGTCATTCTCCTCAATAGTCATATTTGCTGAATTGCCTTCAAGGTCCGAGCCACCTTTCTTAATAGGCATAATAGATGACTTTTCTGTAACGTCCAATCCATCTTCCTTAACAGTAATGGTATTTGAGCTGTTTACATGACCTAAGCCTCCCTCTTCTTTAGTTTCCGAAACACCCACCTGATTAGCATGAGCGTTGTATTTTTCGTTTTCTTCAGGTTCTACTACACTTATGGTTTCCTTATCATCTTTTGACTGCATAGCAATGGTCATCATCTCCTCAGCTGGATTCGCATTATCTTCCGTACCGTTTTCCATCGCATTGTCTGTCATGGAGTGATCATTATTTTGCAAAGGATCGTTTGTTTCAGGATAATTCTTAATTTTCTTTTTCATTTGCACAGTTGAGTTATCGTGCATGCCAGTTTGAATATCATCTGACGTATTCACCATATCAGTTTGAACTGAGTCTGTTTTAGAGCCAGCGTCACGAATTGGGAATGAATTACGATCAGGGTTCTCACCTGGTACCGTTTCGGAGCCTTCATTGGCAACCTCCGTGATCATATGTTGAGTTTCGATGTAACCATTTTGTTCGCTGCTGAAGTTTGCATAAACAACATTTCCATTAGAATCTTTCATTGCAGTCACTTTAGTTGAACCATCCGAACTATCTTTGGGTTCATTAATAGTTGTTTCCTTTGCTTCTTTCGAAAGATCAGTGCTCTGTCTAAAAACATCTGTAGTTGTTTCAACAATTAAAGTATTTCCTGTCTGTATAGACTCTGTATTTTTTTTATGCTCAGTATTTGATATGGTACAGTTGTCCTCCGTGTATGGCGTTCCTGTAATATTCTCTACTGGAGCGCCCTCTGTAATCACCATCAAGATTATGCACAGCAAAAACATTATGCAGGTCATGATCAGTTTCTGTGAAAGATAAAAGTTATAGTAAATATATATTGTGAGTATAGTTAATGTTTGTTATTATTATTATAACGTGAATCAATTTTACAAACAGGGAGTTATTTTAACGTCAATTTGTTAAACTCTTTTCTTCGACATAGGAAAAAATTGGTTACCATTGTATAAAAAGTAAATATTTTTTTATATGGAACACTAACATAATTAGGATGCAATCTTAATTTTCAGTTTTGAGATTTCTACATAGAGTTGAACATCGTATAATTTCTGTCCTGGTGCATTTCGTGAGAACTAACAAAAATTATGGTTGAAACTGATTTACTTCGACTAACAAACAGATAGACTAATACACTGAAATTTAGATTTAATTACAATAAAAGTATTAAATACTTACTGTATTATTTAACTTTTTGGAGAATTTTATTGGGTATAATAAAATTCTTTCACGCGCTCAACATGAAATGGAAACATTCTTTAACCAAGAAGGTTTCGATTATAAATAACAAAAGTAAAAAAAAGATTCTCAGAATGATGGTGTGTTCGTAAACTTTTACTCAAAATCAGATGAGGGTCACGGGTTCGAATCCCCGTTCCATCAAACATGCTCGCCTTTTCAGCCGTTGGGGCGTTATAATGTGATGGTCAATCCCACTATTTGTTGTTAAAAGAGTAGCCCAAGAGTAGGCGGTGGGTGACGATGACTAGCTGCCTTCCCTCTAGTCTTTCACTGCTAAATTAGGGACGGCTCTCGTGTAGCTTTGCGCGAAATTCAAAACAAACCAAACCAGAAAAGTGGAAAATCTGGAATAACTACGCTAAATGTTATTGCACAGCAACTTAATAGCACCACACAGTTGCCAGATTTCCGAGTCCACAATGAATCACACTACAACATATTATAAAATCACAAGTAGAAAAAGAAAAGCTTAAGATTTCTGTTAATTTAGTACAAGGTTAATAAATAACTATACTTTGAATACATACATGTAAATCGGGAAGGCGATATTTCGTTCGTTTTGTATAATGAAAAAAATATTTCTGAAAACCTCCTCAAGGATTTTTCTATTAATCTTATAATTAAACATAAGCATCATTCCAGTTTCAGCCTGAAGTATTTATATAAATACTAAAAGAGGTTTATGGTAATACCCATTTCACAATTTTTCAAACTAGTCCAACAACCTCTAGTTTAAACAATAAAACTTGTATTTTCCATACATCACAACAGTGTCGTTAAAGAAAAAAATTTAAATTCTCTCTACATTACAAGGCTATATGTCACAATAATGGTGTTAAAAAACAAAACTTGCATTTTCTATACATTACAAGGCTACACGTCACAACAATGGTGTTAAAGAACATAACTCGCATTTTCTATGCATTACAAGGCTACACGTCACAACAATGTTGCTACCGACTAAAGTGAAACTTTTTTTTCGGTAACCAGTTTATGATAAAGAATACATAGTCATGAGTTAAATACTTCGTTCGAATTTAGAGAAAAAATGAGCATATCATTTTCTGCGACCAGCTATTGGTTGATTATACAGTTTAAAAGTGTTTCATAAACTTTTAAAAGTTTCGATAAGAGAGATAATGAGCCAGCTGTTGTAGATGCTTTCGTACTTTTCTTAATGTATTGCTCTTACCTAAAACCTTTATTTATATATTTTTATGTACCGACGGCTTTACTAAACTTAAATGGGAAACAGTAAAAATGGTATATCATTAAAAACAACATTCAAATATCACTAAGAAATGTGGCAAAACTAGAAATTTGTAAATTAGTTGTCAAAATAAACCTTCATAATTATCTAATAACGTACGAAGATAGATTAGAAAACAATCTTGTTTAAAGTCCATAACATGTTAATGATAGTGTGGTTATAATAAAAAAGTTTGTAACGTGATTTCTGGTTTATTTAATTGAACCTTGTTTCGGTTTCAGTCCAATGCATTGTTCATTTTCACTCAGCGTTTATGTAGTTCTAACATTGATTTAGTAATGAACATGGCGTTACCCACCAACGTTCAAAGACATTTTCAGACAAGTCAGAAATGACTGAAATAATGAGAAGCTTTTCTCGTAGAAACAAATAGATGGAAAAATAGTTCTAATATTAAATTATTTAGTCACGAAATGCATAACATAATATTTCTTTGATGAATGTCCTCACACTGAATTTATGAAAAACAAAAAAATAGTAGTTTTAACAAGACAAAGAAAGTTCTTTTCCTCGAATTTAAAATAAGCGATACAAATTAAACTTTCCAAGAGGTTCAAGATGATCAACCAAAATGAACAGTATATTAAATTAGGTCATTTTCCGTTCTTCAGAATCTATAGCGTATGAAATATTTATAACCAGCTAATGCAACTGATTCAGTGCGTTGATATAACTATATGCGTCAACCAACACCATTATTACCATAAATTAAAAAAGTAACTTTTGTATAGAATTAATGCTAGTGAAAACCGGCATTTTTATTTAGTGTTAAAAATATTAGATAATAGTTCTTATATGCTATTCGAATAATCACACAAAATAAGAATCCGAAAATATTTACGTAAACTTTCAAATAGATTTAACTAAAGATGTTCACACTTGCAAATGAAAGCTCATATAATACATAAGTTGACAGACAAGTATAACGAAGTGATTAAATCGCTGTTCGTCAAATTACTATTAAAAGGTTGTTCGGTAATATGTGATCATCTATCTATCTATCTACTTTTAAGATAACGCATTTCTCTCTCTCTTCTCTCTCTTTTGATGTAAATTAAAGTTACTCGAACCTTCCAAAAGTAAATCACTCCCCCTACTGTACAGTGGTGCGTTTTAGGACTTATAACGCTAAAATTTGGGGATCGATCCCTGCGATAGATATTCTACTGTACAGCTTTGTGATTAACTACAAAGAAACAAAATGCCTCAAGTAGCACAGCGGTATGTCTGCGGACATACAACGCTAGAAACCGGGTTTCGATACCCGTGGTGGGCGAAGCACAGATAGCTCATTGTGTAGCTTTGTGCACAACTACAAACAAACAAACCATCTTACAATCAGGTCGTTAACGCCCTGATTAAAGAAATCGCTTGGCTTTGAAGCAAAAAACATGTCGATGTCCTCTTTACCACCTTCCACATTTGCATACATTTTCCCATTAAGATGGTGTTGCAGAGAACGAAAAAGATG